GGTCATCGAATGATTAAAAAGAAGACGCATAATACTATGTAGAAAGACTGAGACAATGATAATAGTTCCTATGAATAACTATTTATTTCTTGCATTCTTTCATCAGTTATTCCAGCAATTCTTTGATATAAGTGAAGTGAGTGTGTTTTCCAACAAGGTTAATGGGCAGCTGAGACACCAACTCTCCAGCCTGCACACCCCCTGAAAAAAACGAGACACCAACTCTCCAGCCTGCACACCCCCTGAAAAAAACAAAACAAAACAAACAAAAAAACGCTCTTCAAGACTCCATACTTTTCCATATTCTGATCCTGTGCTTTCTACAGGTTAGACCTATGTGTCCTCATCCCATCCTTATGCTGAGTTCAGAATGTCAGCTATTTTAAAGATTAACATGTATTTGAAAATTTCATTTGTGGTACTGTTGGCACCCCAATTTATTGTGTTTTTTTACTTTTTGGTTTTATTTCTGGATTGAAAACTTCACATTTTATAACTTTAGTTTTTTTTTAACTTTTAAAGCTATTTAGATAGAAAAATATTGAATCTGTTGAATTTATGAATTAAATCATCATTTAAAGAGAATGAGTTTTTATTTAGGGAAAGGTGTTCAAACATCATTAAGGCTACCAGGGTCATGAAAGAAGAAAAAGCTTTACAGTTATTGTGCTGACGTGACTTTATATTCCCCTTTAATAAAATTCTCTCATTTAAACAGCAGTCCCTCTGGAGTGCTCAAAACAAGATGAAATCTAAGATATAAAACCTCATCTGATATTCACTCAATTGCAGCCTTTCTAATTTTCACTCCCTTCCGTGCGAATGCTCCTGTGCATTATTTATGCAATTCGGAGAAATTATTTCTCAGAAGTAGGAGCCAACAAACAGGTGATAGGCCATCTAAAGTCTGAGGAGAAAGAAGAGTAGGAACAGATTGAGGTACTCACCTTTTATGCAAGCTCAAACTCCAGAATTTACCAGCTTGCTAACCATTCTATAGTGTGTGTTTCTTTTCCTTATCTAAAAGTATTTATAATTGATTATTGCTAAGAGAATGTCACAGCATATTCAAACTGTCAGGATACTTAATACTTATGTATATGGTCGGTGTGAGATTTCTAACTCTGTTACTTTTAACAGTATTTTTTGTTTCAACTTTTAACACAGCACACATTCCTCAGGCAGGATTGCAAACATGCCAAGTTTGCAATTTGAAAACAAAGATCGTTTTGAATTATCCAAGTACAAAAGAAATTTTTTTTTCATTTAATTTTTTTTGGGGGGGACTTTATTTTAGAAGGAGGCAAAATGACTGAACTCCAGTTAATCTAGCATTCCCAAAGAAGGTAGTCCCCACTGACATCCTTACAGTTAGGCTAACTTCAGCCTCAAAAGAAAATTTCTAAGATTGTTTGTACGACCCCAAGATTGGGATTTTAGAAAGAAAGAAGCTTTCAAATTTAAACGAAACATTGCAGAAGTTGCAATTATTGTTGCATATATAAGAGAATCCAGAATTATATCTGACTTGTCAACAAGTAAAAAGGGAGCCATTCTTGCAAATGTGGAAAAGAAAATTGTTAGGTAAAATGTTAGATAAGAAAGAGCTGTATATGAGCAGATTGGACTGTCAGCAGGGCGTGCTGCAGTTTGTAAAGCAGGGAGTATCTAGCTCCAGCCATTTTTTGAGAGGTAACTCCGGGACTACCTTTTGCTACAAAAGTAACATTCAAGCCTTACTTAGGAACTCAAAAGTCGTCTCATCCTCCACTCTTCGGAACAGTTCAAGAGCAATTTCTTCTTAGAACTAGTCATCAATTGTGACTCTAGCTGAAAGGTTCCATGGTCAGGATGGTTCTGGTTAGGTGTTCATTTTGAACTCCCTCTAAGTATTCTGGCATCAGAGCGTCGCCTGAGCCTTGGGGGATCCCTGTACTCAATGGCCAGGAGCGCTCCATCAGCTAGAAGTTTTAGTGCCGGGAAAAGGGCTGGGCTCACTTGTTTAAGAACCAGTCTTTGAGATTGATGACTTTGCAAGATGGGCTGGCTAATGACCCCTGGCTGCTGCGCTGTTGTGGACTCGGTTTCTCCTCCAGCTTGTCCGCTCCCCTCCCCTTCCCCAATTCCCCTTGGTCAGGTAAGATTTCCTTACACTTTACCCACACTTTCCTGTCTTGCTTATCCGTGGCCACAAAGGAAAGAGTCCAATCATTCGATCTCTTTATTTATTTTTGAGAAAAGAGAAAAAAAGAACAAAACAAAAATAAGATTTGATATTTATGTTTAAAAAAAAATAGCTGAAGTGGAAAAAGTTTCGAGCCTTCTGCAGCCACGTTCTAAATAAGAATTGCAGAATACTGTGCAATTCAGATTTACAAAAAGAACACTTGGTGGAGAGTGGGGCAGAATTTTTGCCGCATTCTCTAAGCGCTTCCAAGAGATAAAATCCTGTAAGCGGAACATGCAAACGCAAGGGTGCAGGGGTGACTGTTTTGAGAACTGCTAGAGTGCTACTGAAATTAAGTGGAGGTCAAGTCGAATCTGATTTTCAGAGAGACTATTTTACAATAAGGCAGCGGCTCACTGAACAGACCAGTTGACAAGCTGTAGTCACTGTTTCTGAGTATTTCTGTAAAAATGGTAAGGGACCAACTCTGTCATTTGTCCCTCTCATGAAAGCACAGTCTTGTTTACACCTCGCTGGAGAAATAACACCCGCCTTCACTTCTCCGAAAAAGCTGAACCCTTCAGTCGACCCAAGGAGCTCCACACCCTAAGGTTTCCAGGACTAAAGCTGCGAGTCTCAGCGGGGAACAGCCACGTGGCCTGCCTGGGCGTCGCCTGGGCTCCTGCCTCCAGCTTGAGATATCTGCAGCCGCGAACCTTGGTCCAGCTCAGAAAGGGACGCTTTGCTGAATTAATTGTTCCCACTGGTGAGTCCGTACTGAGGAGCCCATGAGCGGACTTTATGTGCAGGGTGCACAAAACTCGTCGCCCCCAAACGCTGCCCCCACCCCAACACTGTGTACTGACTCCAGCCTTTTACTTTGCCGTGTAAGGGATGGACATGAAACGGTTATTGTACCTCCATTCATTTCAAAAAGGGAACAAATATGGCATTGCAAAAGATGGGCTTCTTATCCAAGGTGGCTTTCTTTCTTGTTCACCAACTTTGTTGCTTCCAGTTTGCCAGGATCTACATTAACACCCTCTTTGTGGCTCGTTTTAACATACAGACAGAAATGCTTAAAATGTTAGTGTATCCAAGTAATTGGCATGCGTTTGGGGCCCACGAAGCCTAATTGTTCACTGGATCTCCTAGATAGTGGGGGCTGGGAGGGGGGGTCTTAGAGCGAGCAGCCCCTTATGTCCAGGCGCTATCAAATTCCCACTTCACTCTCACAAGCTGGCCTTTCAGGGTCACAATGCGGGGCCTAATTTGGGGGTGGGGATGAAATGGCCACAGGGTCTCTCCCTTGGGTTGGCATTGCCAGCTGTCAGGGCCGCAGCAAAGGCGCTGCGCTGCCCCCCTCTGGCTCTGCTGCCTTCCCCATGGACTGGGTTTCCTTGCACCGGAGAGTGAACTTCTGCCTCTTTCGAGCACCTTCCGAGGCGTAGTCCTTTGGATGTTGGGGAGTGTTAGACTGGGTCGTTGTAGAGGGGAAAGGAGGGCCCAGAAGGGTGAGAGAGGAGGCCAGGACGCAAATCCTCAGCCCCCGCCGCGCGGCCACGTCTTCAGAAACGCCCAGGACCTCGGCGCTGGGCCGCGGCGGTTTGGCCCTTGGAACTCCAAGGGGTTCGTCTACCTCACCATTGAGTGGGCTCCGCGGTTGACAGTTTTCTTGGCATGCCCCGCCACCCCACACCACCCTCCACCCCCAGCCCCAGCAATCCCAAATCGGCCCCACGGACCTAGAGGGCTCTTGGGCGAGATGAGACATCACCCACTGTGTAGAAGCTGTTGCCACCGCTGCTGTCACAGCCACTCCGGATGCGGCTGCCACCGCGGCCAGGACAGTCTCCTCCGGCCCCTTCCTGGGCTGCGCTAGGGTTCGGGGGCGCTGCCCGCACGCTCCGGCGGGGAAGGAAATCGCCCCGCGCCTGCCAGGGGAAGGCGACGGGGAGGGAAGGGGAAGGACGGCAAGGAGGCGGGTGGAGGGGCCGGCCGCCCGGGCCAGGTCGTTTTTGAATGGTTTGGGAGGACGAATTGTTAGACCCCGAGGAAGGGAGGTGGGACGGGGGAGGGGGACTGGAAAGCGGAAACTTTCCTATAAAACTTCGAAAAGTCCCTCCTCCCCACGTCAGGCCAATGACACTGCTGCCCCCAAACTTTCCGCCTGCACGGAGGTATAAGAGCCTCCAAGTCTGCAGCTCTCGCCCAACTCCCAGACACCTCGCGGGCTCTGCAGCACCGGCACCGTTTCCAGGCGGCCAGGCGGGGTGTGCGTGCAGCCGTTGGGCGCTTTCTTTTTGGACCTCGGGGCCATCCAC